AAGACCCCTATATGGGGGTTTCCGAAAATAGGGTATCTTGGAGGTTCAGGGGTGGTTCTAAGTAGGGTTTTAAGTAGGGTAGCTGTAGCTATAATCCATATTACAAAACTTATAACCATATTTATGAGGGGGTTTCCGAAAACAAGGGGACCCCCAAAATAGGACCCTAATAGTAGGATCCTTATTTTCAAGGACCCCAAATTAAGGTACCCTAAATTTTCGGAACGTCCCATATGGGCAGTTCTCTAAATTTGGTGGTCCCTTTTTTCAGGGGTCTCTTCAAGGGACCTAGAAGGGTTTCGTAGATTTTTTCTACAGAAGGGTATTCAAGGGTTCGATGTGGGTAGTTCTCAAATTAGGGTCCATTTTCAGGTCCCGAAACTAGTACGACACCCTTGTAAAAAGGACCCTAAAAGGGGACCGCAATTTAGAGAACTACCCTTATAGAAACCCTGTAGAACCCCCTATAGATCCCTAAACAGGGACCCTCTCGAAGTCTAAGTACGAATTCCCCAATAAGCCTAGAGATTGAAAGCCTAAAGCCCGAAAGCTGGGGGTTGCGGAGGAATGATGATTGATTTCCGTTAAAATACCAAGACAAGAGATGATGCAACATATTATGTTGATCTTGGGTCAATCGGGGCTCCTAGCAAAATCGGAAACCCCTAAACCCTAAACCCTAAACCGAAACCCTAAACCCGACGAGGACCCGATCCTCGTCGTGGCACCGAGCTCCCTGCGTGGGGCGACCTGGCCTCATTTCTGGGACCAGCCCCACACCTCCGAACTTGACCGTTTCAGGGCTTTAGGGTTTTAGGGTTTAGGGTTCAGGTTTAGGGTTTAGGGTTCAGGGTTTACTTCTATAGAGCCCAAAAGAACCTGTTTAAGGACCTATATGAAAGGAGACCGTAGTAAGGAACCCTAGAAAAGGGAGGTTCTTAAGGGTTCAGGCAGGGTTTAGAGTTTAGGGTAAACCTCGAAAGGTAGATAACGTAATGGCCCAGCACCTACGAAAGGCATCCAAAGGCGTTTGTTCCACATACTACTGGGGTCCAGAGAGGCTTTAGCATTCAAGGGTTTTGGCGGTTTAGGGGCCTCGGGTGTAGAGTATGTATCTATACTTGCTCTTCAAGTTGTTCCGAATTATACCGTAGGAGTAACTAAGTATCTCCTGTAGCTCCACTGGCCCCGACAAGCAAACGGTTTGGGAGGTTCTCACAGATGGAATCGTTCGTCTTCTGTCTGTCATCGGGTTTGATTGCCCTCTGAAGTTTAGGTTTTGGGTTGTGCGCAATTCGAGCATGCAGCAGGTTTAAGGTTTTCGAAGTTCATGCTGGTGTCCAGGGGTAAACTCCGAAGACACCCACTAAAGGCCGGTAGAATCGTAGGACCCACCCTGCCCAGACTTACAGCACCCCAAGTTTTCACCCGTAACCCAACTATAACATGGTAGGTTATGCGGTAGTAACCTCAAAACAGCAAGTTTTGGTATCCCCAGCCAGCTCCCCCCAGACACACGCACACACAAAGAAACATTCCTACTCCGAATAGCTGTCCAGACCTGCGGAAATCCCGTATTCAAAGTAGGGATCCTACTATGATTTAAGGTATGCTCCTTGAAATAAGTCTGGGTGATTCGAGGAGCCAGTCTGGGATCCGGATTTAAGAGGGCTCTTGCTCGGAGTGTTAGAGTTTATTGTTGAGGGTTTGAGAGTTTGGGTGTTAGGCTTTGTAGATTGGGGTTTAGGGTTCTGGGAGCATGTTGCTTCTGGCGTGATTCCGGTGCCGGGCGCGGCTTCATGACATTACTAGGGGACGATATCTTTTGCAGTTGTGTTTTTGGACCGCATCGGTCATATGTATCAGGGTTTGTGGGATTCTACAACCCAAAAATCCCAAAGCACCGAGTATTTACAGGGTATTTGCGGGTAGGATAGAGTGGGAGTTACCCACATCTTGAAGGAGAACTACAATGGTCTGACTGAAGATTCGCTAACATTGCTGGGGTCTGACTTGAAAACCCTCGAGTCTTGCGGAAGAATGCATACTATGTACGGTCGATCCTTAACTCTCCTAGCAATAAAGCCAATAACAAGAGAACTCTCATCCACGAAGATTCTCAGGTCGATTGCAATGTTGTGTTTGCACGTTGCCTGAACTTTGGCATCACCAAGCCTAAACATACCCAAGCTGAAAACCCCACACCCCAAACCCCGGCACCCCAAACACTGAAAAACCCAAACCCTAAACCCAAACCCATAAAGCCTAAAATCCAGAATCGCTGAAGGTTTGGCTGGAGCAACTACGGTGTTGGGGCGGCGTGGATCCTGCGAAGGCATCTTCCTCTTTGCGAGTTTGGGGCTAGGGGGTTAAGGGATTCTAGGGCTTAGGGACTTAGGGTTTAGTGGTTTAGGGTTTAGGGGTTTAGGGTTTCCCTATAGTCTCCATTGTAGTTCTTGGGGGCGACCTTTGAGGATCCAAAATACATATAAAACTTTAGGGTTTAGGGTTTAGGGGGTTAGACTGTATGTAGTGTTGGAGTGCTTCTCGTTGAGAAAGGAGGGTTCGGGTGTGGATTGATTTTGGGCTTGTTCGGTTTAAGGCCCATCTGTTAAGCAATCCGAGTGGTGTTTGGACTGACGGGAAGGTTCGCATGAGGTTTTGTTTGTTTAGTGTTTTTTTTGTGCGGTTGAGCGTTTCGGATTCCTCGGAGGCCCTATACGCTAAGCCCGCAATTCCTTAAGCCCCTCAGCCTGCAGCCCTAAACTCAAACGGAAACCTGCATGACAAACTGCAAACACACCTCCAGCTTCAGGCACTAAGCGTTATGGCATGCATAATCTCTACTAATGGAGGGGCTTGTGGGTTGGGTTCAGGTTGAAGAACGCTGAAAAACCCTAACATGTAAGCCTTGAACGGACCTTGCCTGGACCCCAAAAATATGTAGAATA